AGTTTTTTTATGTCATCTGCACTCTCTCCTGTTTCTTCCTTGACTCCAGTCAGTCTTATGTTATTCTTCTTTGGACCATCTAGCAGCTGCTGGATTGATTTCTCATGGTCCCTTACAATTTGAAAGCAATTTTTCTTTTCCTGGTCACTAATTGAAATCTTATCTTCTATATCTGAAATTTTGTCTTCACATTAGCTCATTCTGCTGTGTAGACTTTTAATGGAGTTTTTAATCTCTTGGAAATCTGTTTCCATCTGTTTTATGGATTCCATTTGTTTCTTATGTTGAGATTCCACTTGTTCCTCAGCTCCTCTCTAGATTTATTAATCATGTCTTGTACTATGAGCACAATCTCTGTTATTATCTGAGAAATTATTTCTGATTTCATTTTTTCCAGATCCTCTTTTGTTGCAAGTTCCAGGAGTCCAGGTGGTTGAGTATCAGAGTGTTTCATCTCGTTTTTCTTTGGGTTTGCTGTAGTTGATCTGGAAGTCTGGTTTTGAGACTTGTTTACATGTCTTCTCATTTTGACAGGGGGTTGGGGGTTGGGGGTGGGGGGTGGTGCTGGTGCCTTTGGGGCTCACCTCCTCTGCCCTGGGAGCAGTGGTACAGCAGCCTGGAAGCCTCCTCCTCTGCACTGGGAACAGTGCTAAGGCAGCCCGGAAGCCTCCTCCTCTGGGGTGGGAGTAGAGCTACCCCAGTGATTCTTGTTAAGTCTGTCAGCAGCTTCAGGTTCAACATATGGACTTCCAGTCATGATCTTCTCCAAATTATGTTCCCTTCTCATACTAATTGGTAAGGTTTCCAACCTTATTTCTTTGACCAAAAGTAATGGCGTTAATACCTGACTCTCAGACTAGTTGTGTAGGTAGTTAGCATAAAAGGAGCCTCTTATGCTAAACCTCCAGATGGCCTTTAAATTCATAGACTGAAATCACATTTTAAGATCATATGCATTTTGATCTTTAGGTTTTGGCATATTTGCCTAAAAGCACTGCTCATTTTAACTCATTGCATAAGTCTTATGTGTTGGCAAATTGACTCAGAAAGCAAAAGGAACAGTTAAAGAGGAACGTTAATGTATAGTTGCTTTTTCAATTTTCTCTAATCCCATATGTTGATTTTGATCTTCTGTTAGGAGAACTGTACTACTTATAATGCAGGATGGAGATTATTGAGTATTTCTGCTTTGAATATTGCATTATTCATGGTATTCATGTGTGTCAAAGCTCTTTATGAAAAATGAAATGATACCATTGTTATAATTTTTCTACATTGCTCTATCAAATTCATCACTGTCTTCAACTTCACATCTATTGCAAATAACCTCTTCTTCTGTCTCCAGGCTGCAAAGAGAGAGATCTTTGGGAATGTCCATCCAATAAACAATGTTTGAAGCACACAGTGATTTGTGATGGGTTTCCAGACTGCCCTGACAATATGGATGAAAAAAACTGCTGTATGTGATTACATGAATTTGCCAACATATTTTTAAAATTATAAATCCCAATTATCTCACTTTGAATACAAGGTATAAGTTTGTATCCAAAGCTTCTGATTTCTTCAGACCTTTTGACCAAACCTCTACTAGTAAAGATTTATGCCAAGAGGACAATCAAATGTGTGTAAAATATGTGCACCATGATATGATTCTGACTTTGTTTATAATATTCAAAAATTAAAGCACCCCCAAAATATCTAAAATACAACCATAAAATAATATACAAACACGAAAATCAAATTACAGAGGAATTTTCCTGGATTCATTATATATCTGTAGTTAATGCTTTAGCAAGTTTCTCAATACTGTAACAAAATACTCTAGATAGCCCACGTAAAAAAAGGAAGCATTTGTTTTGGCTCACAATTTTGAATACTTCAATCCACGATTGGGGGACCCATTGCTTTTGGGCCTGTATTGAGGTAGTACATCATGGTGGAGAACACAAAACACAAATGGTCTGTTCACTTCATGGCTGGATGCAGAAAGAGAGGAAGAGGAAAGGTCTGGGGTCCCAATATCTCCCTCCAGGTTATCCCCTCAGTGACCAGAAGATCTCCCACTAGGCACTAGCTTTAAATCTTCAAATGGCTCCACCATCTCCCAACACATACACAATCTAGGGACCTTTACCTTTAGTTAATAGGCCTTTGTAAGACACTTAGCCCACCATAACTATATATATATATATGAGAGAGATCAGAAGTTCATGAAATATTACAATTATAATCTCTGGGTGCTAGAATTATTAATTTTTTGTGTGCTTTTAAAAAATAGTTTTTATAAGTAAATGAATAATGATTATCTTTGGAAACAAAAAACTTTATACATTTCTTAAAATTATTTACTTACAAGTATCAGAAAGCCAAGCTCTACCAAACAATGAGATATTTATCATTTTTTTTATCATGTGTATCCCATATGTTTTATGTCATCAGATAATGAGTCAAGGAAGTGTAGGGTGAATTCTCCAGGCCATAAATGGGAAGCAATACTTTGTGATTCCTTTATTTTTGCTCAACCTCAAGCTGACTGGTCAAATGCCAAGAGCACTTAGACTGCCAGCTCTTTTGATCACCTCCAGTAGGAAGGAGAGATGTTTGCTCCTACAATTGGACCATCACTAAAAGATTCACACAGGTCATCTTTGAGCAGTCACAGCTAGCAAAGGATGATTAGAAAGATACCATCCACAAACAACTGAATTCCAAAAAGGAGCACCATGCAGGGAAAGCTAATTAGAAGAAAATGCTATTCCTTTCAGGCTGTGCCTGTCCCTGGCTCATGGTTTGGTCAACAGAGTTGGGAAGAAGCTATTTAGCAAAGCACAGCCCACAAAACCGTAGTCCAAGGCTCTGCTCTTGGATCTAATGTTTACTTTTGGACTAATAATTATACTCAAGGAAGAATAATTGTAATTTGGAAAAATGTCATGCCCAGGTTAAACTAATCTGTCTTCCCCCTGGAGCTGGGGATGGCAGGTGTGGTTCACTGAAGGAAATCAGGTTTCATTTTTTAAAAAGAAAGGAAATGGATGCTAGGTAGGCAAAGAGATTTACTACAATTTTTAAAAGTCCAAGAGAGAATTGTGTCTCAGAGAGTACTTTAATAGTGGAGAATTTTTTTAAAAAAACCCATATCCACTTATATGAACAGAGCTTGTCTTCTTCCTATGGCTGCCTGAGTCTCCTTATTCTCTTGTCTTGCTCATTCAGATTTTAACACTCTTCCTTAAACCTTGGTGTTTCTGCCACTCAGATACCCTTATCCTTTTCAATCAGATTGTTAAAACTAGAGAATCTAGGCACTTGGAGGCAGTAATTCTGTTTAAATGTTTGAAGGAGTTGACATCTATTCTATGAGATTGTACAAGTTCTGTTATTCTACACTAATACCTGCCTGAAGGGCTCAGTGGCCACATATTTTCTTCCTGCCATGGACCTGCTGGTAAATGAGGGTGTGCATGTTAGCAACAGTCTCATTTACTTCCCCAAAGTTTCAGTCTTCTTACTTCTTGCTTCCCCCTCCCCCCAGCATTTTGCCAAGATGATGAACTGGAATGTGCCAACCATGAGTGTGTATCACGTGACCTGTGGTGTGATGGAGAAGTTGACTGCTCAGACAGCTCCGATGAATGGGACTGTGGTACGCTGCCAGCTCCTGCCAGCTGCTGCACACGCCTGTGCCTGTCAGCCATTTAAGCTAAATGAATCCTAAATTACTTCACCAATTTTACTAACGAAGTTCATCTATTTTGTTTTACTGCTATAAAGCTGATGGTGGTGATGCATGGATGTTATTTCTAAGTCACAGAAAATCCTTCCCTCATGTTACTTCTCTATTTGAAACATCTGTATATATGTATAAAACTTGGGGTTCAGATCTGTGCAATCATATAATTTCTTAAATAGATTTTTGAAAACTTTTTTTAATCACTCAGTTTCAATAACGATCAATGTTCTGTGATTCTTTGATCATTGACACCTCTTGGAATAGGATATTAAGTGGCTGCTCTATCTGGTTTATGCTTTCGCTCCACATAAAAAAGAAACTTCTACCTCCTATCTAGTTCTTTGCTTGGACAGGACTTAATGGCATCTCCCACCCATATTGCCCATAGGCAGTTTGTAATCTTGAGTTACCTGATTAATTCCTTACCCAACTTTCACCATTCTTTTCATTCACTCAGTTCTTTTTTCAGTCTTTTGTATTATTTGGCCAAATCATGATTTTTGTGTGCTGGAAACACAGTATGTTTCATCTGGAAACAGTATTTCTGGGCTCTACTATTTTGGCAAACATTCCTTATGGAGCTTGTTATAATTTAATTTTATACTCCCATCTTTTAGAGTTTGTCAATATGAGTAACTTCCTTTTGAAGAATGTTTTCATGTCTTAGGCAAACCTGTAGTCAAAGCAGCATCTGTTATATTACCTAACAGTCCATAATATTCCCTGATATAAGGATTTATATTGAAATTTCCTCCTAGTTTATTCCCAGGAAGAAGTTTCTCACTTCACATTTCTTTTGTCACATAAGAACTTTTATTCTAGGATGGTAAACTCTCAATTGCAGTGTTTAGTAAATGATCTGTGGCTAATGAAGTACAGAGGCTGCTTTTTTTGTGTGAAATAGGGGAATTAGTGCATGTCCCACATGAACCCTAAGGTAGCATTACTCTCACACAAAATCTCATATGCTTCCTCCAAAGGAAATGCTATAAATGGAGTTGCACCTAGCTCCTTATAATTAATTATGCAAGTCCCTGGCTAAGGTCAAGACAGTGGGCCCTGCCTCTGATAGTATTCCTGCTTAAGGAAAGTCAAGAGCTTCCTATTTTACTAGAATCTACCATTCTTGGAGGACAGAGAACATTTCTAACTCATTTTTTCTTAGTCTACCATCACACTGAGAGCAGTGATCTGCCTCTGGTAGGGACTCACCAGAAGGCTCTTCATCCAAGTAAATAAGAATGAATATATGCAATCTAAGTAAAGAATAAAAAGTTATTATTTGGTTTCATGAGAAGAAATGTTTTTAATTAGGGTTTCCTGCCCTTTTTCCCCTCAGTGACCCTCTCTAAAACTGTGGACTCCTCTTCGCTCCTGAGTGTTCACCGGTCTGCAACAGAACACTACGTGTGTGCAGATGGCTGGCAGGAGACACTGAGTCAGCTGGCCTGCTGGCAGATGGGTTTAGGGTAAGGTCAGTAGTTTGTAGCACTGATGAATTTCTCTGAGGGCCTTGTGGACCTTGGCAGTGTTCTCTTCCTTATGAATGCATAGTGAGTTAGTGTTCTCAAAGAAAGAGGACTCCAAAGCCTGGGAAAGGAATCAGGTAAGAGGACTTCATTTAATTACAGGGACCTGCTGGGAAGAATATGGGCTGAAAACCTAATGTGATGAAGCCTTTAAAAGTAAATGAAGTAATTGTATTTCAAACACTTCTAAAATGAAATACTTTCATTATTTATAAAAGCATTAAGATGGTTTCCTCTGTGGAAACTGAATGGAAAAAATTTCCACCTCGCAATTTCTCCCCAAGAGGGTATTGAAAATTCCCTGTTAAACAATACACATTTTTTAAAAATTCAAGGAAGAGGATTTGAGTTTGCTGGTATTTCTATTTACCATAAATAATATAGGAAATGTAAATCAAGAAATAATTCACCATTTTTGCCTTTTAACAGCATGAAAAGTTGCAATCTAGATTTGTTACAAATTCACAGAAGTAGGTATTTTGAAATTTGGAGACCTTCTCTTTTGTGAGGTTTTCCTTTCTTAGTTCCTTGGAGGATGAAAGCATCAATTTGCAAGGGCCATAGAATAGATATGTAAGTGTGTATGTGTATATGTATATTTATATAAAATATTTAATGTATTAATTAATACATATTTCTTTTTAAAGTGATGTATATGAGATTTTGAATAAATGCAGAAATGAGAGAAATAAAATAGTTAGAATAAAAAAACTAAGCAAATGGCATTCTCTAGGATCCATTGAGCAAACATGGAACTATTTTTACAATAATGAGCCATTTGATCAGGGAGAGCATCACAGCACATTTGTGTCATCCCAGTTTGAAGAATTATGTAATTCCCAACATCTTGAGCCCATTTCTCCCATTCAAAGGCCCATGTCTTTGGAAAATTGAGTAACTGATGCTGATCTATAATAAAAGAACTTTAAACTTTGCCAGTGTGGAAAAATTATATTTGCAAGATCCATTGAATTATACTCCATTTTCACAACTTCCTCATTCTGTCTAAATGAACTGGACATGACTGTAGTCAATGATAAATGAATGTGCTTATTTTGATCTTGGACCAAGAATTGGAGTTACTTTTTAATATGAAAACCTAATTATACAATAGTGCCAGAGACTCCTGCAGTAAGTCTCTAGTCCCCACCTGCCCAGTATGCAATTCAAGGTTGAAGAAAAACTTTAGACAGAGTTAAAGAGAAAATGTGAATGGGACAGCCAATGCTCCTTAGGCAAAAGGCCCTGGTCTGTCTCACCCACTGAATTTTATTATTCATTAATTGGGGTAAAGGTGCAATATCTGCAGTATGTGTAATTTTCATGGAAACTAGTGTAGGCAAGGCTTTAAAGAAAAGAGTCAAAGCATTTTCAAATTGGAAGCAAGATAGACAAAATATGTGGTTGTAATTAGAGCATTGTCCATCAAGCTATGAAGGCACAAATTATGGGAATAGAATTTGTATGCGATTTACTCTGATCTCAGCTACACAAGTTATCTCCTATTAGCCCCACAGCTTCATAGGCCATTACTCTGGTCTCAGCTGTAGCTGTTACTGGGGAGGTCATGTTGACCTGCATGCTACCGTAGTGCTCCTGAGATATTTCTGTGAGTCATGTAGCTTCAGTCAGACTCGCGTCTTAAAGTAAGCCAATTGAGGGATTTAACTCTTTGCAGCCTGCACTGCTTACAGCATGCTTTGAGTATGATCAATATTGCAGGCTCCAGCACAATAATAGAACATAAAGTTTAAAAAAACTTCTACATTTTTGTCATCTGAGAATGTTTCAGGCTTGTAGCAGAGCACATAGAATTCCTACTAAAATTATGTAAGAAAAACCTTCATGTCTCATTTTTTTCTTGAAGTATATAAATTTATTCATTTATTCAGGAAGCATATCTAAAGAATGGTATTGTAATGTAGGGTCCAGAATCAACTAACTTCAAGTGGGTCACTTATCTATTGATATAGTTAAATTTTGGATGTAATTCATCAAGAATTCAGGTCTACACCAAGTGACATTTTTTACTGGGATTCCACTGAAATACTTCCACCATAGAGGCAGTTGATTAAAAAGACCTGCATTTAGGATTTTCAAACCCCAAGTATGCCTCCATGTCTTACAGCACAAATGTTAGTTCTCCATGAAGTGCTTGTTTGAATGAAAAAATTTATTGTTCTTCGTCAAATCTGAAAACTTTTTACTCTCATCTGAGATGAGATATTTTAAAAGTTCACCTCAGCCTGGAAATACAATGGTTATTTGGTTAGACAAAAGTATAAATAAATTCCCGAAATTCTCTTGATGGCATGTTGACTTTCCTACCTACATGGCCAGTATCAAAAACATATGGGCATTTATTTAATCTACTATACAGATCAGAATTTAGACTTCCCTCTAACACTTGCCAAATGCTCAGTTGTGACATCTGGTATTTGAGAACTTAGTCAAAGGGGATGTGACTCTCCATGTCTCTTGGCTCCATTAGTTCTATCTCGATACAGAATGAGATCATCTGGAAACAGTATGTCTGGGCTCTACTATTTTGGCAAACATTCCTTATGGAGCTTGTTATAATTTAATTTTATACTCCCATCTTTTAGAGTTTGTCAATATGAGTAACTTCCTTTTGAAGAATGTTTTCATGTCTTAGGCAAACCTGTAGTCAAAGCAGCATCTGTTATATTACCTAGCAGTCCATAATATTCCCTGATATAAGGATTTACATTGAAATTTCCTCCTAGTTTATTCCCAGGAAGAAATTTCTCACTTCACATTTCTTTTGTCACATAAGAACTTTTATTCTAGGATGGTAAACTCACAGTTGGATCACATTCTCTGCAACAGTAAATCTACAGTACATCCTTTACATATGAGCCATGGAAAAGAAGCTCAAAAACTGATCATGGTTTTTTAAAAAATTGAGATGTAATTTATGTACTATAAGATTCACTCTTTAAAAGCATACAATTCAAGTGTTTTTACTGTATTCACAAAGTTATGCAATCATCAACAGTGTTTAATTCTAAAATATTCTTATTACTCCCAAAAGAAACAAACACCATAATCAACTTCATTTCTTTCTCCATCTCCTAACAGCCATTAATTTACTGTTTGCCTCTGTGAATTTTCCTGTTGTACACATTTCATATAAACAGAATCATACCACATGAGACTTTTGTGTCTGTCTTCTTTCATTTAGCATGTTTTCAGAGTTCATTCATCTTGTAGCACATATTAGTACTTCATCCCTGTTTATGGTTGAATAATTTTCTATATTTTGGTGATCTGTTCATCAGTTGATGGGCAACTGTTTCCTCCCCTTTTTTGGCTATTATTTGTAATGCTGATATAAAAATCATGTACATATTTTTATGTGAAAATGTGTTTTCAATTTTTTGGATGGCATACAAGTAGGACTAGAACTACTGGGGCAATGGTAACTCCATGTTTAATTTTTTGTAGAACTTTTCTAAAGAGGTTGTACCATTTTATACTATCTCTAGCAATGCATGAGAGCAAATATTTCTCTGTATCCTTATCAACACTTATTATTATCCATTTTTTATTATAACCATCTTAGTGGATATGAAGTGCTATTTTCATTGTGATATTGATTTGTAGCTCTCTAATAACTATGTTTAGCATGTTTTCATGTGTTTATTGGCTATTAGTATGTCTTTTGGGGAGAAGTGTCTTTTTTTGTTTTATTATCATCTTTGATTAGTCTATATTTCCATTATTTAATATATGGGCAGTTACAAAGTCCTATTATTTCTCTCTAAATGTTTATTTTGTTCATTTTCTCTTATTTATTTATCATATGCATGTATACTAGTCACCTTTCCTGATGCTGGGACAAAACACCCAACACACACAATTTTTTTTAAAAGAAGATTTAATTTGGCTTATAGTTTTAGAGATTCTAGTCCACAGTTAGCTGGCTCCAAGGTAGGAACGTCATAGCAAAAGGATGAGGTGGAGCCAAATGCTTCTTTCATGGTAGTTGGGAAGCAGAGTATAGGGAGAGGCCATTATTAAGAAATATGCCCTCCAAATGCATCTGCCCAGTGACACACTTCCTCCAACAAGGCCCTGCCTCTTAGTGGCACATTCAGCTAAGAATATCATTGGTTAACCACTGATAAGTGTGGTGACACCATGATCCAATCACCTCTCGTGGAATCTATTAATCCAGTCAAATTGACAATGAGAGTAACTGATACAACATTTTTACTTAGTGCCTATCTACTAGGTACTCTTCTAGATGCCTAGAACACAATAGTGAACAAAAAGATAATGATCTGTGCCTAAAATTGCTTATATTCTATTGAATGCATTAAGAAACTATAATAAACAAGTAAATAATACGGGAATAGAAAGGGGTATGAAAAAGTGAAAAGGGAAAGTAAAGGACAGTAAGGGGTTCCAAAGTTCAGAGTTGAGGTAGATTTTACTTTTAAATAGGATCATCAGGTAAACCTTTGAAAAGGTGATAGTTTGGCAAGGGTGTGAAGTGAGAGATTTTCCAAGTAGTTATGGGAAAAAATATTCAATTCAGGGGGAGCAGTTGTATCCAAAGTACCAAGGAAGAAATATGCTGGGAACGAGAAAGCCAATGAGATTAGAGTAAATGAGTGGGCAGAGTGGTAGGGGCTGATGTTGGAGAGAAAATGGGGTGGGGGTTGCAGATGACAGAAGGCCTTGTGGGCTATTTTAAGAACTTTGGCTTTTACTTTGAGTAAAATGGGGAACTGTTGAAAAGTTTTGAGCAGATGAGTGTCATTGTATGACTGAAAGGGGTCAGTCTGGATGTTGTATTTAGGAAGCCATTGTATTACTCCATACGAGAGATTTTGATGGCTCAAATCACTGTGTTAGCAGAGGACATGGTAATTGTTTGATTCTGAGTGTTTTTTAAAATGAGAGCCAATAGC